TTCCATAGATAGGGGCCACCACTGAGAAGGCTCTATCTCTTGCCCCACCAGCTGCACCTGCAAAGGAAGTGGGACAAAGAGCAGGGCCTCCCTGGATGATCTTAACCTTTGAGATGGTTCATAGAGGGAAATACATTCAGACAGCTACGCTGGGTTGGAACCATTTAGGGCTTTATAGGCTAAAGCCAGCACTTTGAATTGTGCTCAGTAGCAGACTGACAGCCAGTGGAACTGGCGTAACAGGGAAGTGTTATGCTCCCTGTACCAAACTCTATTGAGCAATCTGGCTGCCGCCTGTTGGACCAATTGGAGCTTCCAAACAGTTTTCAAAGGCAACCCTACATACAGCGCGTTGCAGTAATCTGTTTGGAATATCCATCCATTTGTAATGCAGTCTTTCACTTTTCCTACTGCTTTCTATTTTATCAAGCATCATTGTCTTTTCTAATGAGTCATCTCTTCACATGGCATGTATAAGGCTCTATGGCTGTCTCAGTTTAATCTTCTGGGTACTTACTTAGGCGATCCCTCGTAGTCTGAGGATGATGGTCCTCCAAGAGTGGTATCCTGGGGTGGATCCGTAGATGGCTGTGGAGCCCTATTCTTGATCTGCATCTTCTCCCGCAGTGAGGGCATCGGTTTCCAAGTGGAAGGCGGTCCTGGTCGGGGTTGGCTTGACGTGCCTTCCTCCTGGCACATTTCTCTCTTTCTCCCTCCATTCATGCCTCTTCAAATTCTGCAGCACTGCTGGTCACAGCTGACCGCCAACTGGAGTGCTCAACTATCTGGGTATAGTTCAACCTTGACGCACTCTGAGACTCATTTATTTGTCTTTTTGTTAGTCCATGGTATCCAAAGGATTCTGCTCCAGCACCATAGTTCAAATGAATTGTTTTTCTTTTTCACTGTCCAGCTATCATGACTATACACAGAAATTGGAAATATGGCATGGACAATGCTGATTTTTGTATTAAAAGCAACATATTTAAATCTCAGGGTTTTTTCAGGTTCCTTCATAGCTTCCCTTCTAAGTCTTGTTCTTCTGATTTCTTGATTACAGCCACCATTCTAGTTAAGGTCTGAGCCAAGATATGGAAAAAAATATTTATTTTTCATGCCTTCATAACCTACTTTGAAATTACATGAATAATCTGTGGTCATTATTTTGGTTTTCTTAATGTTCAGCTGTAAGCTTGCCCTGCACTTTCTTCTTTGAAGATGATCCAAGCTTTTCTCCTTACTGCTAATAACATTGTGTGTCATCTGTGTATCTTAAATTATTAATGTTCTTTCTTCCAATTTTCATGCCTCCTTGCTTTGTCTAATTCAGCTTTACATGCATTCACTGTAGCGTTTAAGTAGTCAGGGTGATAAAATGTAACTCTGTTTGATTCCCTTACCAACTAAACCATTCTGTTTCTCCATATGCTATCCTGGTGGCAGTCTCTTGTCCTGAATACAGATTGCACAGCCGGATAATAAACCGTTGAAGCACTCTCATTTCATTAAGAGCCATCCATAGGTTTTCATGATCTACCCAGTGGTTCTCAACCTGTGGGACCCCAGATGTTTTGACCTTCAACTCCCAGAAGTCCTAACAGCAGGTAAACTGGCTGGACCCAATTCAAAAGGCAGGTGATTACCTATAAAGCCCTATATGCTTCAGGTCTAATCTATCTTCGAGACTACATCTCCTTCTACGAACCTGCACAGGCATTAAGATCTGCTGGGGAAGAGCTTCTTTCAGTTCCACCACTATCTCAAGCACAGTTGATGGGGACGAGAGAGAGGGCCTTCTTGGTGGTGGTTCCCTGCCTCTGGGATACCCTCCCTAAGGAAATTAGATGAGCTCCCTCTCTTCAGGCCTTCTGGGTGAATCCAAAAACATGGCTCTTCAGACAGGCCTTTGATCCTGCGTGATCCATGGCCAATGTGATTAATCATTGATAGTACTGGCCCACACTTTGATTGATTGTTATGACAGATAGCCAGCTGACAGGATCCACTGCATTTTAATAATTGTATAATTTTAATTTTTTAAATAATTTTATTAATGAGATTTTTATGCGTTGTTGATTATACTTATGTTGTTGTATTTATACTTATGTATTGTTGTCTGCATGCGACACTTGGAGTGCTTCTGTGAGCCGCCCCGAATTCCTTTGGGGAGAAAGTGGCGGGGTACAAATAAAGATGATGATGATTGTTATTATCATTATTATTTGAAACACAACAAGATTAGTACACAGCAAACAAGATCACTATGCTGGTTGTTGTATTGGATCATACGTCGGACACTTCCCAAGTGTCTTGGACTATGTGATGTATCGGTGAATAATGCGTGCAGATCCCAGTAGGGTGGCCTTTTGCAGCTGACAGATGGTAATTTTGTCAGCACTGATTGTGTTTAAGTGCAGGTCAAGGTCTTTAGGCACCCGGTGTGCCAATCACCAGTGGGACCACCTTGACTGGTGTGTGTCAGAGTCTTTGCAGTTTGATCTTTAAATCCTTGTATCGTGTCAGTTTTTCCAGTTGTTTCTCTTCAATCCTGCTGTCGCCTGGGATTGCAACACTGACAATCCATACTTGGTTTTTTAACATGATCATGTTGTTGTTGTTGTTTCTGGGAGTTGTAGACCAAAACACCTGGGGGCCCACAGCCTGAGAAACACTGTTCTACGCAATCAAGGCAATAAGGGATAGGATGAAATTCTTTGGTCCATTTCATTATCCCACATACTTTGCAATATAATCCACATTGACTCATTTTCTTGTAAAGTCTTTGTTGTAAAACGTTGAGCATCACTTTTCCAGTATTCTTTTCAACTTCTAACAGTAAATAATGTATTTATATTTTATAGACAACAGGAATAAATGGTTGCTTTTGATTGTGCTGTGGCTGTATTAGTGCAACATGTCAGTTCACAATGTTTTGTATTCAAAGAGCATCGCAGCACATGCCAATTTTCACATGATTAGTTCTACTAAAGACTTGTGAAGTTTGCACCTCATACTGTTATCTGTCTCAGTTTGGTGTTTACTAATGAATTTGCTTAGCACTAGAACAGCATTCCAGAATATATTGCTGCAAAGATTGCAGCATGAACCATGATAATGTGTGTGTGTGTGTAACTGCAACTCCTTTCATCCCTAGTGTTGTTCTGCAGCGCTTTCTCCATCGTCATTGCTGTTTTCCTTATTAGTGTTTATCTTGCAGTCCTATGCACATATATTCATTAATTAATCCCATTGAGTTCAATGAGAATGACACCCAGGTAAAATCATAGAATTGGAAGATACCACAAGGGCCATCGAGTCCAATCATATGGTATACAGGAACACACAATCAAATCAGCCCCGACAGATGGCTATCCAGCTTCTGTTTTAAAACCTCCAAAGAAAGGCGATTTCACCTAGTATTATCATTTGTTTGACCCGATGTGTCCTTATATGCCAATTTACTTATGTGCAAAAACTCTGTTCAGGAATTAAAGTTTTAGGCTCCATATGCTCACCAGTTTTTCAGTCTCTTACAGAAAGTATTTGTTGACTTTCCTTATTTGCATTTATTTATTTGATATATCTGTCAATCTCCTTTTTACTAAAAATCTTCAAAGGAACCTACTGTCATAAAATCAAATTGCTTTAACAATGAAGATAGGAGCCCCCGGTGGTGCAATGGGTTAAACCCTTGTGCCGGCAGGATTGCTGACCAATTGGTCAGTGGTTCGAATCTGGGGAGAGCAGGTTGAGCTACCTCTGTCAGCTCCAGCTCCCCATGCAGGGACTTGAGTGAAGCTTCCCACAAGGATGGTAAAAACATCAAAAACATCAGTCCCCTGGGCAACGTCCTTGCAGACGGCCAATTTCTTGAGCATTTCCTCAAGTCGCTCCTGACACACACACACAAAAAAACCCCAAACCCATTGAAGATTATAATAATAGGGCTCTTTGTGCATATATTAAAATAATAATCCCACTATGTTACTTTTGGATTTTATTGTTTTGACAAGATGTTAAAATATACAAAATCGGTTACAGAACATTCATCACTTACAATGTTATTATATTACAATTACACCTGATCCTGGAAACACAAGCAAGCATTGTTTTCACAGAAATCCACTGGTTAGAAGATTTCTTAACCATTGATCAGCAATTGAACATTTATATTAATCAGTCTTCTGAGGAATACATACAGTAGAATTCTTTACAGATAAGTGCTCATTACAAAACCTATAATTTTATAGTAAAACTGCATTAATCCTACAGTATAGATGCACTCTTTGATTGAGAGAAATAGCTACAGATTGCTTCAGGAACTGGATATTAAACAGAAAGATAGAGAGTGCTCTCCCTTCAGAGGCAACATTTTATTGCATACTTATATTACAAGGCGAAAAAGGGACTTTATCTCAGCCTGTTATCAAACAAGAGGATAGTAGCTAGTATTTATCTTGTTCAGAGACTATGCCAGTATCTTACATAAAGGAACAATCTGATAAGAACGAAAAGACAGATGAAAGAAAGATATAGACATTTATTGCTACATGTATAATTATTTTAAGTTGTCTCTACCTGTTGCCTGTTTGTACCATGATCATTGGAAACATTATATACATTATTTATTAAAATTTTTTAAGACAGCCCTAATATGAAGTAATGTACAAGAAAGTGTAAGAAAATATATTAAAAGAAAGCACATGTCACCACTTTAAAATAAGTAAAAACAACACAGATCCCCGCCTTATGCTCCTTCACCAATATTTACATTCAATGTCTCATATGTATATTTAATTGTTTTCATTAGTCATTGTGCTAAAGTACTACATAGCTTTGGCACTCTAACCATAAAAGAAAAGAAAAAACAAGAGAAAAATATGGAAATATAAAGAGGGAGCCAAGATAATGTTGTTCATAGACTTCCACTCAAGCTAATGAAATGAATTTTGTTGACAGGAACTTCTCTGTTACTGAATGGTGTTATTTCGGCTTCTTGTGGAAAAGTCCAAATGGGAACAGCCTCCATTTAGCAGTATAATTGTATTCCTTCAGTGAAAGGAGAGAATTATGCTATGAACAAAATGAACAAGATGCCGCAAGCGTTCTGCATGTAGGGTTAGGAACATTATGTTATAAGGCAGCATTTACAGCAGGAATTATGGGAGGAATAGAGAGCTCCTCTTTCACATCTGTTAGAACTACCAGTTCAAGTGTGTCAGCGTGTACACAGCTAGACCACTGCTATATTGTCCATTATGCAGCCACATTTTTCTACAATCATGTTTGGGAACTCTGCCACCTCAATCTCTGTGTAGTTTCCCTTCTTGACAAGGTACATCATGGGAAGCGGGGAACTCTCCACTACAGCACACGTTCTCTCTCCATAGCCGAAATGGCGCAGCAAGTTCTTGGGCTGCCGACAGCCACCCACACAGTGGTAAGCCTGGTAGCCAGCCGGCTCAATGATCCAATACTGAGTCCAGGTCAGCTCTCGGAAATTGATATAATGTTCCTGGCGGCAACAGATGGTTTTCTCTGTCAAGGTTCCTTCTTTACAATCTCCAGGTCCTCTGTTTTTAAAAAAAGAGCATGGTTTTATTACATGTAATGAAGGAATCAGGTCTGAGCACAATGAAAGGATGTGACAGAGGACAATCTGAAGGGAAACCTACAAATGTTTGAAATAGCTCAAGCTTATTTCTTTCAAGTAGTTTATAATGTGAAGCAGGCAAGTTGCTATTACAGCAGGACAACAGCATCTTTGCCTGGGACTTATCACATTTATCATTGGGGTGGGGCTGTTAGAAAATGTTTATTTTTAAAAAAGGAGATTAATAATAATAATAACAATAATAATACTTTATTTATATCCCGCTACCATCTCCCCAAGGGACTCGGTGCGGCTTACATGAGGCCGAGCCCAACAATACATCAATACAAGCAATAACAATCACAGCAACAAAGCAATTAAAATAAATCACATACACAATTTATTAACGCATTATTTTTGTTTGCAAAAGAAACACTTTCTGGGCTGTTTCCACTCAGAAGAGCAGCAGAAAAAGAGCAACATGATGTGATAAGTTCAAAGAAAAGATAATGTTGTCTTGCTGTAATAGTAGTTTGCCTGCTTTGTGTGATAAACTCCTAAGTTAAGCACCATTTTTGTCATAATTCTATTTTTGGAAATCATTGCCTCTTCCCACATGCCTCATTTTATCCTCCTAAAACAGATGTGAGATACCTTAGAGTAAGAGCTAGCAATCTAACAACCACAACAATAACTTTATAACTTGCCCTCTCTCCCTGAAGGGACTGATCGAAGATCATTCAGTGGGCTTCTCACTGGAGAAAGATCTGAACCCTGCTCCTCTCTAGCTGTGGTATCACAGAGGCTCACCAGTATGGTAAACATATAATATTATATATGGTCAGAGTCCTAAATTACACCTACTGGATCGACTGTGAATAGTAAGTCAACACATAGGTTAATCCCATTGAGTCAATGAGTGTATTTCAGTCAGGCCTGACATCAGTATTATGGCTATATTTATTATTTTGCCATCTATTTATATCTTGCCTTCATCCCATAACTTAGGTTTTCTTCTATATGAAAGAGCATGTATAAAACTTGTACATTCTGACACTTACCCATATTCTTCCAGGTTAAGAGTATAAAGCACTAACTCCGGTTTGCCAAGAGCTTTATCTGAAGGGTCCTGGGAGGTAAAGCGCACCATTTTGGCCATTTCAGAAGCATAGCTGCCTAGCCTTTCTCCTTCAATCCAGATCTCTAGGAGCATTGGCCCAGTCTTCTTGGTTTTTAGCCAGAAATGCACAGCTTGTGTGACATCAAAGTTCCTCCAGCCAGATTCCATGACTGGAACTAACCTATGTAGGAAAGAATTCACAACTGAGATATAATGTAGCACTTTAAAATGAGCAAGAAGTTAGTCATATACCTGTAGTGTAAAGCAGATTTAAAACTCTCATTTCCATAAAGATAACTGAAAAAATGAAACAAAACCAGAATTTGCAATGGTCTGACCCTATACATAGAGTTATATAAATGCCTTCCTGTTACCAAAGCTTTTAGAACTATTTTCTATTTATTTACCAGTCTAAAAGAAAATATGCCATAATTCATTTTCTACATTTTTTCAGCAAAAAGCCTTTCGCAACAATGAGATTGCTAACTTTGTCAAGATAGCCTTTATGAAAATCTTAACAATTAACCTGACTCGAAAAGTCCTGTACAGGATTGAAAGTATTTGAAACTCATTTGGGCTTGAGTCAATCATGTTCCGATAGAGATCAGTTCAGATATTGCTCTATATCCAAAAACCACTAGAGTCATTTCTATATCAATGCTTGCCAAACAGAAGGCCTGCAGGATCCACATGTTTTCTTATATTAGCACTTCAAAATTCATAGATCAGGTCATGTATAAACCCTTTTGCTCAAAGTAGAAGATTCTGAGCAAAATAATTTATTTTGGCTACCAAAACTGAATGCAAATTGCAATTCTTCCACTCCAAAACTTTGGTTATGTCAAACTAGGGTTTGAAAAAGTTATGGTATTTTCTGAACTTTTTAAAATTCCAAGACCCATACTTCTCCACAGTCAGCACTGAATTTGGTGGCTGGAGATTATAAGAATGAAGAGGATTTGGGGAAAGAGCATAGACATTTTATGTTTGAAAATTTCCATGTTCTTAACCCAAACACTCTTAATGGCCTTCCATGCAGTCATGCCAGCCACATGACCTTGGAGGTGTCTACGGACAACGCTGGCTCTTCAGCTTAGAAATGGAGATGAGTACTACACCTCAGAGTCGGACACAACTGGACTTAATGTCAGGGGAAAACCTTTACCTTTACCTAACCTAACCCAAACACTCTTCATTTCAACAATGTAATATAAGGAGAGTGGTGGTGTGTCAGTTTGTTGAAGTTACTGTTAAATAAGTGGCTGTGAAATCATCTAGAGATCTACCACTATACATCTAAGGTACCTTCTGCTGCCCACAATTCGCTGTGTTTGAGAAATGAACATCATGGTGTAATAGAGGGAATGATGGAATAAATAAATGCCAGATACGGCATTTGACACAGTTATGAGAACATATGATTCAATTTTGCTAATTGGGCTCTGTGCTTACTATAAAAATTTAGTGGGTGAAACTACAATCACAATGAAAAAAATTGCTTCCCTTCATACATTCATGCTTAACTATATGGCTAGCCCTAATTGTAAACAATACTCTTAAAGTGCACACCACTTCTCCTACCACGCCCTACTTTACAATGTTTATATCTGAAATAAGTTGCTTCAGTGTTCCTGTCATCTTTCATGCAAGTGCACCTTTTCTGAACTGTCTGGCTGGGTACCTCATTCATACCTGGAGTCAATCAAAGAAGTCCGGTTGGTTCCATTGTCTTGTAGCTGCACCCAATAAACGCTCACCCTGGCGTTCATGACTGGCCTCTGAGATGGCCTGATGGGCAGGTGTTTCATCTCCACAGGCTTTTTGAAAAGCTTCAGCTCAGCCATGGTAACTTCACTGTTTTCGGGTATCCTTCCCTCCATGTCAAAGATCAGCTTCTGCCGTGTGGCATCAGAATAGAGGACATCTCCTGGAATATCTGCATTTGGGGAGAACGGAAATATTCCAGGTCATTATTATTTCTCCTACTTGAGAAATGGAGCACATGCTCGATTTTTATGTTGCATTACAGCAGCCCTCTCCATCCAAGTACCTTTCAGATGTGTGGGACTACTATCCCATGCAATGGCTACATGGATGGGGATGACGAACATTGTAGCCCAACATGTCTGAAAGGTACAGCAGACTCTCTCTTATCAAGGGAAAAAATTATAATGCATAATAAAATCTAATGCATAATCAAATTCAACAAGTTTTTCATCATATGTACATCAGCAGATAAAAAAAGGCAGCTTAAGATGCTGTGGAAAAGAGCTATTTCAGAAAAAGCATTTGGGTTGGGTTGGTTAATTTAGGCAAAAACAGTTCTGTGCAGACGGTAGATGGCCATTTACTACATCCCTGTTATACCCTATGGTTTTACTCCACACTGAGTTCTCTCTCTGCCCCAAAACTGATAATGAAAACATATGTCAGTAAGGCTGTGTCAACTCCATGGCGGGAATCATCTTTTGATTTATTGAATTTCAATATTGCCAGCTTTGATGCCAACACGAATCAAAGTTCACATAAAATCTCCCTCCATACATAGCATTACAAATGATCCTTGGGTTATTTTGGACTTAACCACCCACGATTTTACAAGATTGACCTTATTTGGGCATGATAGCAACTATAGTACTAAACATATGGACGGCACCACCTTAGGGAAGTCTGCACTAAGTCAATGGGAGTTCATGTGTCACATGCATGTGGTAGCTTTAGTAGAACAAATTGCAAATTATCATACTCCTCTCTTCCTTGGTTGTTAGGAAATTACATGCTTCAGCTTGTAGCCACAGAAACATTGATTCACTGTATAATAAATAACCCTAATGAACGTGTATTCTTTTAAAGTAGCAACTTATGTAGCATGTTGTCACTTTTTCTCAGCTTTTAATTCAAAGATTACATGTTTTAATTCAAAGATTACATGCAAGACAGTTTGGAAGCTACACTATACCTATTTAACAAGGAGAAAGCTTTTATTGAACTTAACAGGTGGACTGCTAATTTATAAATATCTACCAGTGACTGGCATCTTATTGGTTAATCCCAATTAGATTAGACCCATTCAATCAGTTGTTGAATGGTGAATCAACATGTAGATAAATGCCATTGATTCAATGAGTCTACTCTTTTTAGACGTAATGACAGGGTCTTGGTAACTAAATCCTGTTAAACTCAGAACTACCTATGTAGACTGGAGTTGTCACTCAAGAGTAAGTCCCTTAGAGGCGGATAAAGATATTCAGGATGGTAAAAAGTGATACAAATTGGTCCCATGAAAAACATAATAATAATAATAATAATAATAATAATAATAATAATAATAATACTTTATTTATATTCCACCCTATCTCCCAAGAGGGACTCAGAGCAGATTCCAAACATAAAAGGCAAACATTAAATGCATCCATAGTAATGAAATTTAGTAGCATGACTAGTCAATTAATTGTATGAACATCAATTGGTTTAACATTGCAACATAATACCAATCATAACTATGCATAAGAAAGTAATTCAAACAGTTAATATTCCTGGAATCAGTAATGTCCTTCTTTCACCATTGAGCAAAGCTATTACCATTTTTGTGACAAACAGAGATAGTGAAAAAGCTCAAGATGCAAATATAATCTTTGGGTATATATATCTGGCTACAAATGGCTGAGATATTAGAACTCAGTGCTTTTGACTCTATTTAAGTCCATCAACTTTTCATAACAGATCTAGATTTTTATTTGAAATCCAGGTCTTGCTTTTTTACAGCTTCTAAAAGTTTTTTTTTTTACTATAACTCCCTGACAGTTTGGACTATAACTACTTGACAGTTTATTAAAATGCAAATAAATAAATAAATTGAAGTGCAAAGCATACAAGAATCATAGGGTGGTTTACCTGCATTGCCGGGAATTCCTCTCAAGATCCCAGCTAGACTTGGCAAAGCTCTCCGCTTCACTCGGTGACGCTTCAGCAAGGTCATATACTTGTTTCGGATATACTCTGGAATTACCACATTCTCCAGGTCTGTCTTCTGTAGGGCAGGGACTTCAGGAAGCCTGAGCTTCTCCAGCAACATCTTTTTGAGTCCTTTCTCACTAAATCCACTGGCAGGGCTACTAGCTATGAAGAGGACACAGGTCACTACCCAGCTAAAGCTCACAGCCATCCTTTGCCTATCAATCACTTGTGAAAAAAGATCCCTTTAGTCTCTCTGCTCAGCACAAGCTGGTCTTGACTGAGAAGTGATAGCTCTGTAAGGCTGGAAGCTGCCAGAATGGAAAGGACAGCCAATGTAAGGGCTTTTTATGGCAAGTCTGGTGCCACCGGCATAACAAATTCCACAAGCAGAAGTGAGGCAGAGGGCTTGGAAGTGTTACATCCCCTTTGTATGCAAAGCCATCGCAACACCTCTCAGTATCCTGCGCTATATTTACAAGGTCATGTGCTCCTCAAAATAATCAGTGGGTTCAAATAACATAAACCTGCTTCATTCAGTGTGTTTTCTCTTAGATTTCCATAAAGGAAGGCACATGAACACAGCAATTTTTTTTCTATGTGCTGCAGTTTTATTAACTCACACTGATTATTTTCAAACACTACTAGATTATGTTTCATAAGTCGCCAAACCTGACACTCATTTTCCCATCAACTCACACCATTATATTATTACAGCACTGGTTTGGTCCTTCTTTTGTCACAGACTTATCTCCCACTGCTGTGGTTCTCCCACTGCTGCTGGGCATCATATCATTGGAAATGTCTGTTAATGATCACTTACCTGCTATGATTCAGTAGCCAGCTTAAGTGCAAATGTCATTTTCCATTTCACTGTAAGAACTGTAAGATTACTGGGTTCCGTATTGGTATCGTCTGGTCATCCTTTCCTTGGGGATCAGCAGGAAAACCTCCACTACTTCTGGTGTTTGGCATGGAGGATAAAACCTCTGAAGAAAATAGATCCTTTTTATCATTAATTTTTTTAATTATAAAGCAATCCTGACCTGTTAACCATTTAAGCAATTATTCATATACATTTATTTATTTATTTATTTATTTGGCATATTTGTATCCCATACTTTATTTATTTATTTATTTACAGTATTTGTATACCTCTTTTCTCACCCAAGGGGGACTCAGGGCAGCTTCACAACAGGCATTCATTCAATGCCAAGAACAGTTATAAATAATAATAGCAATTAAAACTGTTCATTGAAGCATTAAATTACTAAATTGCTAAAAGATTTTTTAAAATCATGCAGGTCAGTCCACACAAACTGGGTCTCATTCTTGATTGCTGCCTCAACTGATGGTCCCATAACCAGGCTTTGAGTTTATTTCTAAAGGACAAGAGGGAGGTAGCCAATCTGATGTCATTGGGAAGAGAGTTCCACAGCAAGGGACCACCACTGAGAAGGCCCTGTCTCTCATCCCCACCAGTTGTGTTTGTGAGGATGATGGGACCAAGAACAGGGCCTCCCATGCCTATCTTAGAGTTCGCAATGGTTCATTTACTGCATGTGGATGCTTTCCAAAGATTTCTCTACTACTTTCCTGTGTTACCACACACACCACAGCGCTGCCTCTGCAGCATTACTTTTTAATATATATTACATATTTTCATGTAATAACCTCTGTGAACTATCTAACCCAGAATTCTCTTTCCTATTGTTGCCAATAAGGGATTTTGAATACCTTTGAGAAGTTCAAAATGGGACATGGATCTAATATATATTGCCTCTAACCTGTAGGAGCCAAAGTTATGCAGTGATTTTTAATGTTGGGATTTAAAAAAGGCCTTTCCAGGCAAAACAAATGGTTCTGGTGACTTTAAATTGTGGTTAAAAGTGCCCAACTGCCTTTAGAGAGCATCTAGGGGTACTTCCCCCCCCCCCCATTTGCTCAGAATATGATGTGCTGGTGCTTGAGATATTTTATTTATCATGTCAGAATTGAGAATAATATATTTAAAAAAACACAAATAAAGCTAAAAACTTGGCATTATGCTAGATTTCCTTTAACCAGAAGCTGGCCATTTGGAGTGCCTCAGGTTTCACTGTAAGAGGGTCCTCGATTGTGCATGTGGTAGGGCTCAGGCTGCATTATAATAAGTGGTCTCTGGTTTGCTCTTCTCTGCACTCACATGTCGTGGACTCCACTTTATAGCCCCATTTCTTAATATTGGCTCTGCATCTCGTGGTACCACAGCGCAGTCTGTTCAGCAACTTCCAAGTCTTGAAGGAGAAAACAATTAAATTGAATGTATAAGCTTTCAATACAAATAATTGACAATTATTTGTTCCTCCATAAATCAAGACTGTTCAAATTCTTGGATCCTAGATAGACTCTTGTATGCAGAGGTCTCTCAATCTGCAAATGAGGGATTGAAACAAGGCCCAGTTGCATTTGCAAGACAATTGTTATATAAGAAGGGAGAGAAAAGAAAAGAAAGAAAGATCCAACACCAATTTAATTAATCAGTTGTTCTATAAGGGATTGTCTTTCCTTTTAGCATTTGGAGTACTAGCACAATATCAAAAAATAAACTACATTATACTTTGCTTGTACATACATTTGGTACTACAAACTTATCTTAATTTCAGTCATTTATTGGGCTGACTGTATCTTTACATCATAATTGAAATAATCAATGTGAAATGATAACGGTGATAATAATAGTGATGGTTTTAAACTATTTCTTACTAACGTATCATCCTGAGAAAAACCAGAAGGCATTGCCAACACAATATTCCCACGCACTATCCCATAAAGTGTAAATTTCTGTGTTAACAGGCTAGACTCAGGATTTAATTCAGAACAAAGAAAATATATTCTCTGAGGAATGAAATAACAACACAAGTATTCTGCTCAGGATTAAAAATGAAGCTGGTATTTGTCTCTCCATTCTTGCCCTTCGTAAGAGTGATACGGCTTAAGATCTGACAGCAAATTGCAGCGAGTGCCTCTATATTAGAAAATGCTTTCTGTACTATCTGATGTCAAGTCTAATACATTGAAAGCTCTTTAATGCCCAATGTGTATTAGAAACAAATTTTTGAGCTCCACAGATAATGTAATATTGTTAAACAAACAGACTGCTGAATCTCAGTACCGAAGAGTGAAAATGTGGATTGAAGTCTTTTTCACACAATGGTGATTAGCTGCTCCAATTGTGGGATTTACTATTCACTTTTTGTCATGCAAACAAGAAAGGGCAAGCATTTTATAGGAGCTCTTTCTGGATAATGTGTATTGGAATCTACATGGTGGATTCAAAATGTCAGACAAGGGATTTAAGGTGTCTGCAAAGGACAGCCCATGACAAATCTGATGACAGTCTAACAGTACGTGTAACATTTATGATAGCTAAGACAGTAAATGTAAAATCAGTTTATCATCCTGTAAATTGGGATTATGTTTTATTGAAGCAGTGGATTTGCATAAGAACAGCATTATCTTTAATCACCCAATCATATGTGTTAATAGGGAAGAATGATCAGTTCAAACCTAATTGTAAAGATTTGGGGAGATAAGCATGGGCATTTCAAACATGATGGGTTTTTTTTCCGTGTCAGGAGCAACTTGAGAAACTGCAAGTCGCTTCTGGTGTGAGAAAATTGGCTGTATGCAAGGATGTTGCCCAGGCGTGCACAGATGTTTTACCATCCTGTGGGAGGTTTCTTTCATGTCCCCACATGGGAAGCTGGAGCTGACAGATGGGAGCTCACCCCGCTCCCTGGAATCGAACAACCAACCTTTTGGTCAGCAGTCCTGCCGGCACAAGGGTTTAACCCATTGTGCCACCAGGGGCTCCTAATATGTTAACATGTTAGTGATAGCTAATATATTGCTGTTAGAAATGTTTTTTAACTAGATATTTTGTAACTTAAGGTTTTAATTAATGTTAATTTGTGTTATACTGTTTTGTTGTGTGTACTGGCACTGAGTCACCCCTCAGGGGTTGAGAAGGACGGGATACAAATGTTTGAAATTGAAATAAATAAATGAGAATATCTGCTGGGAGAAAATGGTACCTCAATGGATCAAGCTTGTTTTGTCTTCATTGATGATATGCTAACTGGTCAGTAGTGTTTTTGTTTTTTGTTTTGTTCTCATGCCCTGTTCTATTCCTAAATTAGACCTTTAAAAGCACAAAAAATGTTTGAAATGAATATGTTTTATTGCTGAACGAACCTACCTAGCTGCCTCTTTAATTAAATTGAGTCTAAATCCATCTGAAATATGAAAGTCTTATGAGATATGGCGCTTTCTCTGTAAGGTAAGAAATCACATTGTGGTGGTGGTGGAGCAGTAAGGTTTCATGAGAGTAATGAAAACATTGAGCACTTGTTGTCATCACTCTCATGCAGACAGGAATTTCCAAATTGTGAAGTAAGAAAACATTTATCTTTATGGTTTATCTTCTGTGAAAGGGAATAAGACATACAATGTAGATGATAGCACTGAGCACTTGTTTTCCTGAATACTGGATTATTTCCAAGAAATCATTGACTAATCCTTAATGAGTCAAATACAACGGTGAATATATCCCTGTCCCTGCGATAATTAGATTTTGAAAAAAGTGACACTGTGGAAACAAGGTTTGAAGATAAAGACACCTTTTTACCATGACAACACTTTCAGAAGTGAATGTCCCTTCCTAGGAGTAGATTTCTCTCACTTCCTGTTGTCTCACCAGTACATTTCTATGATCAACTTCTGAAAGAACGTCCAGGCATCATCAACCATGATTTTATGGTATTCAAAGCTCTACACAGTCAGCAAACTCACATAATGTTGGCCTATAACATCCACCAATTTTTATTTGTAAGGACAATGTTTTAATCAAAATCAAGGTTTGCTATAGATTCCAATGCATGGGGGATTGTGCCTGTCATTTCCCCTGGAAAACAAGGACGTTATCCAAATGGTGCTAATTTGACTGAGACTTTTTTTTAATTTTCTGCTTGCATTTTATGGTTTCAATTTGCACAGTTAATTATGCATTGTGTAATAAGGTTCTTCTTATAATTAGAATTCTGTTGACTGTTAATTTCTCTGATCATTTCTGGTCCCAACTGAAGTGAAAGTAAGGCTTCCTATATTCACTCCTGTTTTCCCCACACTTTAAAGACCCTTCTGTAAATATCAGCAGCTTCCACTAGGTGTTATTTGGATGCATAAATGAAGGCCTTCAAAGGCAGCGTTGCCACAAATCACATGCTAATAAAAGGCAAATGATTTGCATTTCTAAATTTCCTAGGTGTTTTTTCAAACACCTCACCAAAAACACGTAGTAAGTACTAAGAAGAATAAAATCTCCTGCTAAAGATCTATTAGATCAATTAGTGCAATTTCTTAAAAAGAGTTTAGAATCTAGTAAAAGGTGATGCTTGAAGTGATGATTTGCTAAATCTTGATATAAATCAAAAGCAGAGGAGGAAGTTACGTTTGGAACAGTGATACGGTAGAATTAGTGCACAAATTATCATCTGCTTGGTGGGGATAACTTTGTGTTTTGTGGATGTATCAGGAAATATACAGATTGTGTACGTGTCAGATGTTTGAATCTGGATAAATGGCAGCAAATGGGCAACAATTTTGTTCAGGAAGACAACTTGAGTTACGTGTACTATTTCCAAGCAATTTGATAGGATAAATGACAGCAAACGGGGAACAATTTTGTTCAGGAAGAACAAAAAATCTGATTCAAATGAAAATATTTTATTGGAAAATGCAAGAAAGATTCACAGAATTTTCTAGAACAC